TTGAAGAAAAACTCTAGCTTTGAAATATAGGCAGCTCCCTACATTCAAAATATCCGGTAAAGAAGGAAATCAAATGTGTTGTTCAAATGATCTTTGAATATATTGTATTGCATTGAACTTTTAAAGGTTTTCTTTCAATTTCTCACAAGGTATCAAAAAAGGAAATAATATGGCCTCTTCCCCCCCCCAAAAAAAGTTGATGCATCTCTGATGTCAATGGACAATTTACAGGTGAAACTCGAAAAATTAGAATATCGTGCAAAAGTTTATTTATTTCAGTAATGCAACTTAAAAGGTGAAACTAATATATGAGATAGACTCATTACATGCAAAGCGAGATAGTTCAAGCCTTGATTTGTCATAATTTTGATGATTATGGCTTACAGCTCATGAAAACCCCAAATTCACAATCTCAGAAAATTAGAATATTACATGAAATCAATAAAACAAGGATTGTACATAGAACAATATCGGACCTCTGAAAAGTATAAGCATGCATATGTACTCAGTACTTGGTTTGGGCCCCTTTTGCATCAATTACTGCCTCAATGCGGCATGGCATGGATGCTATCAGCCTGTGGCACTGCTGAGGTGTTATGGAAGACCAGGATGCTTCAATAGCGGCCTTCAGCTCTTCTGCATTGTTCGGTCTCATGTCTCTCATCTTTCTCCTGGCAATGCCCCATAGATTCTCTATGGGGTTCAGGTCAGGCGAGTTTGCTGGCCAATCAAGCACAGTAATCCCATGGTCATTGAACCAGGTTTTGGTACTTTTGGCAGTGTGGGCAGGTGCCAAGTCCTGATGGAAAATGAAGTCAGCATCCCCATAAAGCTCGTCTGCGGAATGAAGCATGAAGTGCTCCAAAATCTCCTGGGAGACGGCTGCGTTGACCCTGGACTTAATGAAGCACAGTGGACCAACACCAGCAGATGACATGGCTCCCCAAATCAACACAGACTGTGGAAACTTCACACTGGACTTCAAGCATCTTGCAGTGTGTGCCTCTCCATTCTTCCTCCAGACTCTGGGTCCTTGGTTTCCAAATGAGATGCAAAAGTTGCTCTCATCAGAAAAGATGACTTTTTTTCTTTAGCCCAGGTAAGACGCTTCTGACATTGTTTGTTGTTCAGGAGCGGCTTGACAAGAGGAATACGACATTTGAAGCCCATGTCCAGGATCTGTCTGTGTGTGGTGGCTCTTGATGCACTGACTCCAGCCTCAGTCCACTCCTTGTGAAAGTCCCCAACACTTTTGAATGGCCTTTTCCTGACAATCCTCTCCATCCCTGCTGCTTGTGCACCTTTTTCTCCCACACTTTTCCCTTCCACATAACTTTCTATTAATGTGCTTTGATACAGCACTTTGGGAACATCCAACTTCTTTTGCAATTACCTTTTGAGGCTTTCCCTCCTTATGGAGGGTGTCAATGATGGTTTTCTGCACAACTGTCTGGTCAGCAGTCTTTCCCATGATTGTGATTCCTACTGAACCAGACTGAGAGACCATTTAAAGGCTCAGGAACCCTTTGCCCGGTGTTATGGCTTAATTAGCTGATTAGAGTGGGACACTTTGAGCCTAGAATATGGAACCTTTTCACAATATTCTAATTTTCTGAGATTGTGAATTTGGAGTTTTCATGAGCTGTAAGCCATAATCATCAAAAGTATGACAAATCAAGGCTTGAACTATCTTGCTTTGCATGTAATGAGTCTATCTCATATATTAGTTTCACCTTTTAAGTTGCATTACTGAAATAAATGAACTTTTGCACGATATTCTAATTTTTCGAGTTTCACCTGTACAAGCCCCATTCTTTCCTTTAGTTTTTGTATGGCCAAAAACATAGCAAATTCCAGGCTCTTCCTTCCCAAAGAAGTGGGAAGAAAAAATGTTTGAGGGATTCAGGAGATTCAACACTGAAAACATGATAGTACAAAACAGCAGCAGTGTCCTCTTTCATCTGCATCTCTGGTAATTCTTCTCCACATCTTCTGACCTTGCTTCTTTGAGTTGTTCTAGGCTCTGGCTGGTGTCAGCTTTGATGGTGTCCAGCAGTGGTGGGTTTCTACATTTTTTACTACTGGTTCTGTGGGTGTGGGCATGGCATGGCTTGGTGGGCGTGGCTTGGTGGGCACAGCAGGGGAAGGATTCTGCCCCCAATCCAGGGGAAGGTTACTGCAAAATCCCCATTTCCTCCCGATCAGCTGGGACTCGGGAGGCAGAGAATAGATGGGGGCGGGGCCAGTCAGAATTTTTACTACCGGTTCTCCAAACTACTCAAAATTTCCGCTACCGGTTCTCCAGAACTGGTCAGAACCTGCTGAAACCCACCTCTGTTCTCCAGCCACTGTGACCTTTGATGGCCTGATTTCCTTTCACCACTAACTCTTTGGAGCATAATTGCTTTCTCCAGTGAATTCCCTTGCATGACTTGGCCAAAGTAAGTGAGACATAGTTTCGTGATTTTGTAATAGCTAAATCCCAGGCCCTGTTGGGGTTTTGCCCAAATGGCATGGCATTGGCTCAATATATTTTGGTGGCTAAGCAAATAAAGAATAAATAAAATGGTGCATCTGCATACAGGAGCCAATAGGAAGTTGACTGTTTTACACTAATGAAGGAAACTCCATGGCAGCTGAAAGCAGCAAGCTAGCTTAGAAGGAACAAAAAATAAACCATGAAAACTAGTGACTTCTGTTTTCTGACATCTTGCTATGGTTCCCACCAAGCCTTTGCCATTGGAGGCAGCTGTCTCATCTTGTCTAATAGCAGGGATGGCTATGGCAAAGCATATGAAGGCTGGTGGAAAAACAAGTGACAAGATTCCAGGGACACAGTTCTATTGCCAATGAAATGCTGCCTTCAAATCCTTAGCACAAGTTTGCAAAATGGGATTTCTACTAACATTTACTATGTAGGCACAGACCTGCCTTCCATTGAGGACCTGTATACTGCACGAGGCAAAAAGAGGGCTGTAAAAATATTTACAGACCCCTCACATCCTGGACATAAACTGTTTCAACTCCTACCCTCAAAACAACGCTATAGAGCACCGCACACCAGAACAGCTAGTCACAAGAACAGTTTTTCCCCGAACGCTATCACTCCGCTAAAGAAATAATTCCCTCAACACTGTCAAACTATTTACTAAGTCTGAACTACTATTAATTTTCTCATCGTTCCCACCACCCATCTCCTTCCACTTATGACTGTAATTTTGTTACTTGTATCCTTATGATTTATATTGATATTGTTTCCTGATTGCTTATTTGTACCCTATGACTATCATTAAATGTTGTACCTTATGATTCTTGATGAACATATATTTTCTTTTATGTACACTGAGAGCGTATGCACCAAGACAAACTCCTTGTGTGTCCAATCACACTTGGCCAACAAAGAATTCTATTCTATTCTATATAGAATGCACTAAACTCCCCGTTTATACTTATTGCATAGTGAGATCAAACATGAATTGGGTAGAGCTGAAACATGCTGGAAAGCTAATCAGAAACTGGGGTCAAAGATTGTGTTAAATTGTTATGTAATTACAACTAACCGAACAAACAATTTTCCCTTGGACTGCCTAACACATGATGCTCTCACAAAACCAAATTGATTGCACTGTGGCTTAATATGCTGGATCAGCCAGGCCTCTCAGGTACATTTGTACATTGTTTCAGTACAACAACTGGGTGTGACTATGGTATTTGTTTTTCTTCCTGAACCCAGAAATCTAGCACTATAGCTAAGAAACAGCCCCCCCCCATTTTTTTACCCCAAGAAAACATAGTGACAGATGGGAGCCCGTGTTGTTAAGTCATCTTTCAAAAAATATATAGACAATTAAGAGACCCTCAGATTGGACTTGGGATGGCAAGGGTAGCAAGATATAGCCAGCACTAAAACTTACTGATCAGGTAGTTAATCTTTTTCTGGGTTCCCATGACCCACAGTACTGTAGTTTACAAAGGGACGGACTTGGTTGTAGATCAGGCAAGTGTAGCCCACTGCATGGAAATGTGTCCCTATTTTCCTTTCACATAATGGCAGCATCTCCTCTCCACAGGAGCATTGGCAATATAACTATTTGATCTAGTGGTTAAGGTACCAGGCTAGAAACAAGGGACTGAGTTCTAGTCCTGCTTTAGGCATGAAAGGCACCTGGGTGACTCTGGGCCAAACACCAGATGACTGTAAGTTCCCATTCCGCTTTAGACATGAACGCCAGCTGGGTAAATTTGGGCCAGTCAGTCTCTCTCGTCCCAACACAGCTCACAAAGTTGTTGTTGTTGTGAGAAAAATATTAGGGGGGAAAAGTATTATGTATGCAAGATAGAATTTGGGTCGGTCACCAGGACCAGAGATTTACTCTTCTGAGCTTCTGGACTCTGGAATTTCCCTGAAGATGGGCTCCAGCGTGAGTCTGAGCCGTGGTGGTGCAGTGGTTAGAATGCAGTACTGTAGGCTACTTCTGCTGACTGTCTGCAATTTGGCAGTTCAAATCTCACCAGGCTCAAGGTTGACTCAGCCCACCATCCTTCCGAGGTGGGTAAAATGAGGACCTAAATTATTGGGGGCAATATGCTGACTCTGTAAACTGCTTAGAGAGGGTTGTAACCCACTGTAAAGCAGTATATAAGTCTAAGTGCTATTGCTATTATCCTGGGACACGTTGCCTTCATTCATGAGTTATTATGTATGTTCAACACTTTGAGTTATTTATAAAAAAATAATAAAGGAGAGATATAAATGAATGATAAATAAATAAACCATCCAACCCCTTAGATTCTCCAAACTAAGCTCTTTCTAGAATTTAACTCCCAGAATTCTCAGAAATGGTTGTGCTGACTGGGGAATTCTGGGAATTAAAGTCCACACATTCTGCAGATTAAATAGAATGCAGAACGTTCATCACTAGCAATATACAACTGGCGTGGAGAACAGGAAGGCTTGTGGAAAGAAAGGACACATATCGACTTCATCCAAAACTCATACGCCAATTTTAACAGTTTATTTAATTTTCGGTACAGTGAAGAATGTGTACAGATCTACACGTAGCCCTGTAAAGAAAGAAAAACAAGGACTTGCAAGGCTGCCTGCTTGTCCACAGCAACATTTTCCCACCTTAAAGACATTTTTTTTCTTAGATTTTTTTTTTTTTTTTAAAAGAGAGAAAGAGATGAATTTGCTTCCTCTAGCACATTCAGAATCGAAAAGAAAATAGGATTTTCTTTCAGGAGTGATATCAAACAATCTGCTGATATGGGTGAGTTGATTTCATCAGACCATTAAATTCTTACGGAATCTGAGGAAAAAATTGCAGTACAAAGCAATTGAGCAAGCATCTGACTCTTTTTTTTTTTTTTTTTGTCACCAGGTTCCTCCTGGTCCTGGTACATTTCTCCAACTGGGTTGTTGATGTTGTAATAAAATTTTAGCCACAATCAATCACTCTCAAGAAGGGGGAGATTTACAGGCTATACAATTGATGGGGATAAGAGGACACCCGCTTCTGTATTAATGCATGAAAGACAACTGATACTGCATTAATTGTCTACATCCAACATGATTACTTAAGTGTCCCTGTGTCAGTCTCTGGCTCCAACTCAACATTTATGGAACAAAGGCACTAAGATTTGAGGCACAGAAACAAAAAACAAACTTCCTTCTCTCTTTAGCATCCTTCCTCCCTGAAAGCTAAACACCCAAAAACCCCACCAATGTCTTCAGTCTTTAGGTAGTAAGAAATGTCCTCTTTTTTCCCAGCTTTATTATTATTACTTTAATACGATGAACCATTTCTCCTGAAAAGCTTTGCATAGCGTGGGCTATTCTATAAGCCTCTCTCATTTTGGGAAGCGTTATTGATATCTCATCTTCATCAGGAATAAAACAACTCCTCTGTCCTCAGAGAAGAGATTTCAGATATCTATGTCGAACTGGGCTTCTTCACCTGTGAAAGAGAGAAACGATTAACCAAAATGTCTATGGAAATTCTCAGTCATCCAGGTCATGGTTGTCCCAAAGATGCTTTTTCAAAAGGCAGCTGGATTTTGTTTTTCCTTGAAGACATTTCATTTCTCATCTAAAAGCTTCTTCAGTTCTGAAGAAGAACTGAAGAAGCTTCTTGGATGAGATGCGAAACGTCTTCAAGGAAAAACAAAATCCAGCTGCCTTTTGAAAAAGCACCTTTGGAACTGACAAAAATCTCAATTTCATGTATATTCATTGGATGCCACATATGCTTGAAAGCATTACTTCTCAACATTTTCCTTAACATAAAGAGGGATGAGAGTCTACTCATTCCAGTTTTAACTGTGGAAATTCATTACTACTTCATATATATGAGTGCGACTTTAGGAAAAGGAACATATACATAGTAATTGACAATTTATAATCCTTCAGCAGTCCAGTTTGGCAAAGGACAATAGAATTATTGCTTTGAAAGCTGGTGGTTCAGAGGCAGTATAAGCCTATAATCTTTGCAAAATTTACTTCAATGTTCTCAGCAGAAAACAAAATATGCCCCTTTTAAAAAAAACTCTTTTGGTTACTAGTTTCAATAGTGGTTTTGCTGCGGTAAAGCAGTCGGCAAAGATACTGAGAACTGGGAATTCCAAGAAACTTCACCAATCTTAACTTGGTTCATTTGCAAACACAATCTATAATCATAGGACTTATTTTGCTCAGACAACAAAAAAATACAGACCCTAAACAAACAAAAACAAAAGACATAGGTACACTCAACATTCTTGGGACTAAGTCACAATTCTGACATGAAAGCTATCCTACTGTATTCTGAAAACAAGCTGTTAAATTAAGCAGTTAACAATTTTTTTTCTGCACTACAGGTAGTCCTTGTCTTATGACCACAATAGAACCCAAAATTTCTGTTGCTTGTTAGTAGCAATAGCACTTAGACTTATATACCCTTTCTAAGCGGTTTATAGAGTCAGCATATATTGCCCCCAATAATCTGGGTCCTCATTTTACCGACCACGGAAGGATGAAAGGCTGAGTCAACCTTGAGCCGGTGAGAATCAAACTCCTGGAATGAGCAGTGACTTAGCCTGAGTACAACATTCTAACCACTGAGGCACTGTGGCTCTAGTTTTAAATGAATTTTGCCCCCATTTTATGACCTTTCTTGTGACAATTAAGTGAATCACTGCAGTTGTTAAGTTAGTAACACGGTTGTTAAGTAAATCTGATTTCCCCATTGACTTCGCTTGTCAGAAAGTTGCAAAAGGGGAACACATCATCCCAGGAACTGCAACCATCATAAATATGAATCAGTTGCCAACTGTCCGAATTTTGATCACATGACCATGGGCATGCTACAATGGTCATAAATGTAAAAAATAGCCATAAGTCTCTTTTTTTCTTTGCCGTTGTAACTTTGAACAGTCTCTAAAGGAACTGTTGTAAGTCAAAGCCTACCTGTATATCATCATGTATAAAGATAGATAATTAGTTGATAAGCTTATTAAACATTTATTTCACTGCAATTTATTATTCCATAAATAATTTTCACAGAAGCTGTAAAGTGGGCATAGGAAAGTTTAAAAGAAAGACAAAATTAATTAAGGCCCTTCTTTGTCAAGCATGCCCTGCCTCACAGCTTCCAGGAAGATGTCTGTGGAATGTCCAAAGTGAGAGAAGGAACACAAAAAACATCTCTGGTATTCAGACAGACACAAGAGTTTCTGAACATGGAGGAAACACAGTCAACCAGCTGCTAATAGGCTGCACTTCCTCTATAATGAACTAATGTTCTTCCCTAGCATCTAAATCAGGGGTGAAATTCAGCCGGTTTTATCCGGCTCAGGTGAACAGGTAGCGGTGGCTGCGGGAGGCTCTGCCCACCTGTGTGGATGTCATGACGTGGCTTTTTTGCAATATTTCACATTTCTGTGCATGTACAGATGGCGCATGTGTCGCTTCGCTCACGCACGGTGCCTGCACATTTGCAAACCGGTAGGGAAGGTAAGTTAATTTCACCCCTGATCTAAATCACTCATCATTTAGTAGGAAATTCTACAACGGGGCATCCAACTTTGAGATCTGTGGACTTCAACTCCTAGTTAGTTACTGATGCAGAACTGTGTAGGGAATTTAAATGGGACTCCACAGCTGTTCTGCTGTTCTCAGAGGGTTAAAGAACCTTTATGCACCTGGCAACAGTTATTCTAGGAAATCAGATAGAGTCCTAGGCCTGTGGCTATAGCGCCAGATTCGTCTAGTGGTTATAGCACCTGCCTAGAAAGCAGGAGACCGTGAGTCCCTATTCTTTCACATAGTGGCAGCATCTCCTCTCCACAGGAGCACTGGCAGTATAACTATTTGATCTAGTGATGAAGGCACCAGGCTAGAAACCAAGGGACTCTGAGTTCTAGTCCTGCTTTAGCCATGAAAGCCAGCTGGCTAGTCACTCTTCCTCAGCCCAACCCACCTCACAGGATTGTCGTTGTTGTTGTTGGGAAAATAAGGAGAAGGAAGGTCTGTCTATTGGATATGTTCGCCACCTTGAGTTATTTATAAAAATAATAAAGGTGGGTTACAAATAAATACAAATAAATAAAATATTCACAATACCCATGAAATCTCATGCGGTCGGTAGACCCAGCACTCATGGTGAAGCATCTATGGTTTTTATGACAGATCAAACCTAACCAGGCTCTCTTGGTTTGGCACAGAGAAAAGCAATGTCTGTAACCCAACTCAGCAACCATGTATTGTGATTTGTACAGGTGACCACACACCTAAGCCTGGTTTCTCGTCGTCAGCAGACATTAAGTTGATATCTGTCTGGAGCTCATCCATACTTGGATTTGTCACACCTGGAATGTCTGGAAGGTTGCAAGGTGGTGTTTTAGCAACTGGAGAATTTCGGCATGCCATTAAGAATTTGCGGTCATAAATAATGCGGGTACCTATAAGAGAAAGATAGCTACAATTTACTGCTGTTCTCAGAGGGTTAAAGAACCAAATATTGCTCAGAAAGAAATTCCAGTTAATCTGCCATGTTATCTATACTGTACTTTTGTATATACTTTTTATTCAACTTTTAAACAAGAAGATAAAAGCAAACGGAAATTAATGTAAAGAAGAAAAAAGAAAAATTAATCAAGAAAAATTACAAGGAAAGTTGTATAAAAAATAGAAAATGAAGGAAAATATATACTGTATATATAAGTGGCTTGTGATGTTCTTCACAGCAGTTTTAAATAAAATACATTTTAACCTCTTTCTAAAGTTATATTAGATTGCTCTTTTTTAATAATCTATTTTATCCAATCATCAAAACCATAAATAAGTTCATTTTTTTTTCATTTTTATATGAAAAGTCCGTAAGAGGCTTCCAGTACCAATGATTATAGATGATGCTTTTTCTCTAACCAAAGAAGTCAATTTATTAATTTCAGGAAAAATTTTCAACTTCACCAACCATTCCTCCATTGTGGGTAGTATCAAATCTTTCCATATCTAAGTAGATGGCACTTTTAATATTCAACAGCTTCTTTCCTTCACCAATCAGGATTGGATTTTGGCTTGTTTTCACAGCATAGCTGAGTCTTCTTTGCTGTTTAAGAATAGAATCAGGCTACTTTACATAGAAAAGCAGAAACTCCTGAGGAAAGTGAAGGGTAAAGCACAGAAGCCAATAAACCTGCAAAATAGATTGAGGTTCATCATAATCCATGGTCATAAAACCGTGGTTTTCCACAACAATGAAAGCTGGCCAGTAAATCCATCTCCATGACACACGGTCTGAAGCACTGATGATTAATAGTAACTGAGAAGTAAGTAGCATAACATAATTGCTTATGTGCAGGGATATCTGATTATCTGGACAGTTTTACAAGGAGAAGTGCATATTAGTCTTGCTTTCCATTTTTGGGCAAGAACAGAAGCAAAACAAGAGATGATATGCAGCCTTTGTAAGTTTGCAATGGTTGAGGCTGCATAAAACTTGTGAACAGATCTGATTCTTCCGCTTATTTCAAAAAGTCCATTCTATCATTAAGAATTGCTAGTTCTTCTTTGTCTAGAGGAGTGTCCAAACTTGGCAACTTTAAGACTTGTGCCCTTCAATTCCCAAACTTCCGCAGCCAGTAGGTCTTAAAAGTTGTCAAGGTTGCACACCCCATTCTAGAGCTACTTGCTATCCAGCCTCCAAGAAGAAAGAAAGGCAGAGGTGGTCCCACAACATTAGAGTCTCAATTGCCTTTCCTGTGTGTCACCTTTCCCAGATATTCTCCACCACAAGAAAGATCTCATGGGAGGCTATTAGAACCGGAGAGAAACAAAGTCCCTTTATTGCAATCGATAGGTTTATGGGTGACCACTAGAAGGAGCCTCGTACTTTTATTTTGCTTCTGAACAGACGCAGTATGTAAGACATTTGCAAGTCCTCTGGCTGGGCTGAGAAACTGACTCCTTCTAGTTTTGAAATATATATTCCACATTAGGCAATCAAGTCCTGAATAGCCACCAATCCTAGATCTTCATCCATGCATTAAGAAAGCTACACACTTTTTACATTTTTCAGCTGTAACTGAGCCTTTTGCCACTTCAATAGAACCAAGAAAAAAGAAAAATGTACAAGTCTTCCTTTAAAAAAAAGACTGCGCATTAACAGCAGAGGAATCCTTACAGCTAATTTTGGCTATGTAGTCTTTTCGCTTTTGATATTTTTGTATGCTTGATTCAGCTTCACTGCACCTGAAATTCTACGTCTCTCTCTGCCTGCTGACTACAGGATTCAAGAGCAAGATTATTTGTCATTATGATAGACTTAAATATCCAGTAATAGTATTGTTCCTACTGAGTTCTTAACAAGATTCTTTCTGCCTTTGCAACTTTCTTCGAGCAAGAATGTAATGACAGAGAATTAGAAGGAAAATTGTGTATATTTTCAGAATTTGTATTCAACATTGAGCTGGCCAAGCAGCTTCCAAATATAGCTTTAAGTACGAATCTTTTAAAACCCAAGCCAAGTAAACCGGAACTTTTTTTTTTTAGGGTTTAACGTTAAACTCAACAACCCCAAATGTCAACCTCAAAACCACAATGTGGGTACTTGCCTTATTTGTAAACTTTATTGTGGTCATTCACCATTTCAAAAACACACACACACAAATTCTGACACAGCAAGAAGACTTAATTCTAACACTGAAGAGGTCAAAATGTAGCATGTTTCACACAGAGCAAAACAAAATGTAGCCACATTTAGAGAAATCAAGCCACACTGATTATTCTAGAAGGAGATTTGATGAGATGGAGAGTTATTAGCATTATATAGAGAGTAACTGGGCATCTTGGTAACAAGAACAATACCAAAGCATGGCTTTAATTTTCAGCAGTTGCCTTAGATTTAATTAAATTCCAGTAATTAAAAAAAAGCAGGTGGAATTGTGGTTCCCCCCAAGACTTTTGTGTGCAAGTATTTTTGCTACTGATTTGGAATTTTAATCTGACTAGATACTATTAAAAATATTGGGATAATCATAACAATTGTTATCAAATTAACTCCGTTTAAATTAAAGAGCCTTGATAGTACAGTGGTCTATGCACCCTGTTATTAACACAGCTGCCTGCAATTTACTGCTGGTTCGAATCTCTCCAAGGCTCAAGGTTGACTCAGCCTTCCATCCTTTCTAAGGTAGGTGAAATGAGGACCCAGTTTGTGGGGGCAATAAGCTGACTTTGTATAAATATACAAAAGTATGAAGGCTATTGCTTAACACATTGTAAGCCGCCCTGAGTCTCTGGAGAAGGGCGGCATATAAATCAAATAAAAAAATAATAATAATTTTACATTTAAATGCAAAACAATAATATTTAGCTTTTGGCTGAGCACACCTCCATTGAGAGCATAGGCCTTGTAGGATCCGTTTCTCAAAAGCTGGTTGCAAAGATTAGGAAAGCACACTGCATGAGAACCTGTGGCTCTTCTCTTGCCATTCCCACTGGCCAGGCCAGGATTATGGGAGCTGTAGTCTGTAGCAAACAATAATGTAATGTAGCTCAGAGTCCTCACTTCTCCTCCTAAGGAGAGCCACGCTTTTACATTTACGCCAAGGAACACAGCGGCTTTTTTAAAGTACCTAAGCTCTACTGCCAAGAAGCACTATTTCCTTGCTGATATTTCGATCAAACCTTTCAAACACATTTTTTAAAAAAGGGTTGGTGAAAAATGGATGATGACAAACTAGATTCCCCGTTTGGAGCAATTAGAACTAAATTGTTTTCCAACCCTCTGAAGTTTGGTGCGTTTCCAGGGACGAGGTGGGTGGAGCAGGGAGGGATTCAACAGTTGGGAGTCCACAGCCCAGAGCTCCACCCGATACTAAACAGCAATGAATCAGGATCTGCAGACAAGCGGCTTTCGCTGCTTCTGACGCCTGCCAGCTGCTGGAACACCCGCAGAACAAAGATTGTTTTCCTAGAAATGTTGTCACTGTACCAGTTATTGCAAGAACATTTCATAAGGGGGTTCACTGGAGGTCTATATCCCTGAGTTTATATTCAGTCACATGCTCAGGACTCCTGTTTGCTTAATGCTATAGCCAGGCAGGGTGAAAAGGGAGACTTCGAAATATTTTCAGTTGCTGGAGGGGAGACGGAGGTGTTCAGACCTTTACTCTCTGGGTGCCTGCTTCCTAAGAACAGGAATTCTACACATACATATGAGGGGGTCCTTGGTGCTCTCCGATCTTGGTTGTTTTCTTGTAGACGTTTCATTACCCAAACTAGGTAACATCATCAGTGATAGTCTAGGATAATGAAACATCTGCAAGAAAACAAGCAAGCTTGGAGAACACCAAGGACCCCTCGTTTCAATTCCCAAGCTACAAATATCCTCCTTTATTGATACATATATATGAAACTTTGAAACAAGACAATAAAAACGAACACAAGCTTATTTATTTATTCAATTTATATGCCACCCCTCTCCGAAGACCCAGGGCGGCTCACAATACACTCAAAAAATCACTATAAAAACACTTAAAAATTAAAAACATTAAAACCCATTCACACCATTCATGGCCGGATCTTGTCAGATTGCAAAGCGAGATCAACGGCCCCAGGCCTGCTGGAAAAGCCAGGTCTTCACCACTTTCCAGAAGGCCAATAGGGTGGGGATAGTCCGGACCTCAGGAGGTAACTGGTTCCAGAGAGTTGGGGCAGCCACAGAGAAGGCCCTCCCCCGCGGGCCCGCCAGCCGGCATTATTTAGCTGATGGGACCCGGAGGAGACCAACTCTGTGGGATCTTACCGGTTGCTGGGAGCTATGCGATAGAAGGCGGTCTCGAAGATAACCTGGCCCTGAGCCATGTAGGGCTTTAAAGGTAATAAGCAACACCTTGAATTGTGACCAGAGACCAATAGGGAGCCAGTGCAGCTTGCGGAGAATTAGTGTAATGTGGGTGTACCTAGGTGCACCCACAACAGCTTGCGCAGCTGCGTTCTGGACCAACTGTAGTCTCCGAACACTTTTCAAGGGTAGCCCCATGTACAGCGCGTTGCAATAATCTAACCGTGAGGTGACAAGGGCATGAGTGACTGTGAGGAGAGCCTCCTGATCCAAGTAGGGTCGCAATTGGTGCACCAGGCAAACCTATGCAAAGGCCCCCCTAGCCACAGCTGTCAGATGTTGCTCTAATCTTAGCTGTGAGTCTAGGAGGACACCCAAATTGCAAGCCCGTTCTGCGGGGGACAATTTCTCCCTACCCAGAAGCTAGTATAAAGTGAGGAAGAATAAAAAGAAATAGAAGAAAAAAGCAAAAAGTGCAAGAAAAAAAGCTGAAGAAAAATAGCAAAAATATAAAGAAGTCACTTCTAATATTCTTTGCAGAGTTATAAGTACAAGCATATTCTTCCACAAGGGATTCCTTGCAATTTTTTTTTTCCTGGAAGAGCAGATCTC